CAAAGCAGTAATCAGAGCAAAGGGTGGCTATTTTGAAGAAACTAGAATATAAAACATGTTTTCAGTTATTTCACCTTTTTTTGTTAAGTACATAACTCCACATGTGTTCATTCATAGTTTTGATGCCTTCAGTGAGAATCTACTATGTAAATAGTCATGAAAATAAAGAAAACGCATTGAATGAGAAGGTGTGTCCAAACTTTTGGCCTGTACTGTATATATATATATATATATCATAGAATGTATAAAAGAACATGGACATAGCCACCATGTCATCCATTGGTTTGTGGACTATAGCTCTGAAGCCTCGATTTTGGCATTTTGGCCGGTGACATCTTGTTCTTTTTTAGCCAGAAGCAACCATATTTGGACAAAAAGGTGGAGCTGCAGAGGAACAAGGAGTGGATCTGACTGAGAACCCAAGGACATTGCCCTGGTTGCGACCTTGAAATCACAATGTCATCACACCCTAAAGCATAACTCACTTATTTTACTCTTGATGGATCATAATTTACACAGTGAACATCGTGCTATTTTGAAGAAGACTTAAAACTAGCGATTGAGATCTTACACCAGTGGAGTCGCCCCCTGCTGGCCATTAGAAATAATGTAGGTTTAAAGGCACTTCTGCATTAGCTTCACTTTTCAGACCCACAGACAATCCCTTGATTTGAACATATAGTAGCTGCTGATTCCCCTGACAGACTTACTAACGCTGACTGGATGTAATGTGCATATTCATATTGTTTTCTTGTTTTCAGAAGAAATTTTATAAATATTTTGTGTTTCCACAAGAAATTGGGGTCTCGAAAGTCAGTTTCACTTCATCTTCATATTATGTGCTTTGGTGGCAATTTTGAGAATCAGTGTTCCATTCAGGATGTGATGAAGCTTAAAAAAGACGGACTTTTTTGATTGACAGTTGTGGTGGTTAGCACCGTCTACGTCACATCCTTGCTTTCACCTCTTTGCTCAAATTAGGATTGCTGGCTCCACTAACTGAGTGAGAAGTGACCCCAATCCAAATGTCTCCTCAGAAGCCAGCAGCTTGTCACAGATGCTACTTCCACCCTTTCTCAACAGTGTATAAGAGCAGCACAACTAGATCTGATAAGGAGTTAAAAGTCTTCTTCAAGGGCACCTCAGTGGGATGGGTTCTGGCTGCCACAAGAATTGAACTTCTCTACTGGGCTGTACTCTCAGCATCTTTGCAGTCATAATGCATCCCCAAAATGTAACAGACACAAAATCAAGGGTGAAATGAACAACAACAACAACATACCTCTTCAGCACATCATGAAGTTGCCTGTAGCTGGATTTCAGTTGGGTTACTTTGGTGTGGCTAATTTTGCCCAATGACAACAACTGAGGAGGACAAATGCAGATATATTACAAATCATAGAGACATGAAAAACAATTTGCAAAGACGGATTTGCAGGGAGCGCACAATATTTAAGCAGTATCACATAAGAGGGAGTGCTGATATGCAATACAACAGCACGACCTCAAGTGTGATATTGCTTGTATATAAGCAACCTTGTCTCCTTGAAATTACATTTGTATACAGCTAATCTGAAAAAGACCGAGTGCTTTTGTTTCTTAAACCCAAGACGGGAGTCTAGATGTAAACCCGCAGTTCTGGTGTCAAGGTCCTGCACTTTGTACACCTGCTATTCTCCCCAACCACCTCTTCCTGGAGCTTACATGGTACATGAATGCAGCGTTTCATTACCTGCAAGAAACGTCTCTGAACATAATCTAGGCAGGAATTACATTGCCGCAACAATGTAATTAGAAAGCAATTTAGTAACACAAAAACATAATTTCTAGGAAACCGGCCGGGGTGATATAAGTGCCATTTATGTCAATAGTCATAAGCGACAACAGATTATGATTTGTTTGTTTATTTAATCATTTATTTGGCTCCGCCAGCACAAATAGTTCTGCAACTGGGTTGGGACTGGACTGTCGCCAGCCAACACAATAACATCCCTTCACACAGGCTTGCTACTTTGTGTCATGTGCATTTATCTGTATGTTTCCATGTGCAACCAGTGAGTCTGTTGATCAAACAGTGCGTTGCGATACTAGTTGATGTCATAGGAGCACACCTCGAGGTTTGCAGTTAAGTATTCAGGCTTGTTTTCTTCCCTCCTTCTTCTTCTGATGACCATTTGGGATTTGACTCAAATCTTATTTGTGAAAATATGTTCAGCTTTTTATGACGACCATTATTGTAGGCTAATTAACGTATAATGTCATTAATGGTTTAGAACACCTGTACAACAAAGTGATACATGCATTAAAGTCCCAGTGATGTTACACTGAGGGCCTCTCATCCAATCCAATTACTTGGTTGGAACTAACTGTTGTATAAAATTGATTACTTATGGTTGATAGTAATTCTTAGAGTGACCAGCATTTCCAAACTCCTATCAGCAAATGATTGGTGGCTGGGTTTTTAAAAAATTTCCCCCAGTGTCAATCATCCACATCTGAGCAGTGCGGCTACACTCCAGACATTACAGCAGTCCTAAACCGTTTGGCTTCGGTCAGCTAAGTTGGCAGCAAATCGTCCTGCATGGGTGTGCCAGCTCAGGTTGCACCACTTCAAAGTCTTTGATCTGACCCAGAGCTGCATGTATAAAAGCCAAGACATTAATAGGATATCACATTCTGTGGAAATCTCTCGCTGCCGTTTTTCCGGACGGAATATTCAATAGGACGATATTGCTTTGAAACAGATACAATTCTGACCAGTAAGCGCTTTGGTAATATTGTTTAGTGACAAAATTAAGTTGCAGAAGTTGAAACTAAATCACAAGAGACTCCAAAAGACTTTCAAATGTCATAATAGCCAGAACTTTTTTGACAAGAATTGCTTTATTTTTTGCTGTAATATGCTCAAACTTCAGTTATAAGAAAAAGCTCTTTTATATCTGCCTGAGCTCGCCAACACAAAGTGTGTTCGACCACAACAGAGCCCAACTCCCTGATGTCTGTAAAGTGGATTTAATCCAAGTTGGGCTTAATAAACCTTAATCATCACAGCAGATCACAGCATCTGAGCACCTTATCACAATCAGTATAAAAAACAACCCCCCCAACTATCTGAGATCTCAAAAGGGAGAAGAAAAATCATTCAGAGTGGCCCATAAATAACCACAAGTAAGCGCAGTTCTTCAGACCACAGGTACCATTAGCCCTGAATGATTTGAAAAAGTTGATAAAAACAGATACGCAGCTGTGAAACCTTGGTGAAAAGAAAACAAAAACACAGCACAGAGAAAGACATCAGGTCAACAGCGTTGCAAAAAGGGAAAATTATCACTAAGAGTTGTTGTTAAATTTCTCTCTGTGGGGACGTAGTTCCGTGTGTGTAAACAGTGATATAAACAGAAGACCGGTGTTGTTCCCTCTTATCTTCAGAGCCAGGTTGGTAGAGAGTGGAGTAATGAGGGATAGCCTTGTCTGTATCAAAGAGCTGCAGAACTGAGGATATCTCAGGTCGGACGGTGTAGCCCGTAATCTAACGGCAATGAAAACACACAAGCGCTCCGATTATATATATACACACACACACACACACACACACACAGATAACTCACCCCAACTTCAAACATTTGGGATAGCCGATTATGTTTTTAGATTCATTCCATTATATTGTTTATCTGGCTGTTGTCAAATGTGCTCGCGAGTGCCTGACCACGTCCCAAGGGCTGAGAGGACAGAGATATGAACGTTGTGAATGATGCAGATTAGGGAGCTTGTTAATATGATTTATTCAGATGTTTTTTCTGTCAGTTTGCATTAGCAGGCACCCAAGGTCACGTCACTACGAGCGAAACACCTGACAAATATTACTTTTACTTGTTATATCCACTCACTTTTACATCTTGAAATAGTTAAGTGGGTCATCTGGTCCAGATTGATGCCTTTAACTTTAGTCATGTAATCTAATAATAATTCCTAAAAAACCTTATTACGGGAACATGAGAAATTATCTCATCGCACTGAAAAGAAATAACAATTTAGAACAGAATCTGAGGATGAATAACACATCAAATATGGCCAGTGTGTGTGTTGTCAGCAACATAGTGATGCGACAGACACACTGGCCATACGCTGGGCATTTATCTGAGAAAAGCAGCCTGAAGCGGTTTCAGGCAGCCTCTCTAATTCCGCTGCCAAGACTTATCTTCAGCGGTATAGAGTATTGGAGGCTTTTATGGGGTGGCTGCATAAGGCTCACATGTGGCAGACCATCTTTGAAGTGCGATACAGACAATCACTGGAAGATATTTACACGGGCACATGGACTCACATACCTGTTCATCTACCCCCCCCCCCCCCCCCAGCATGTGATCTGTACAGAAGCAATAAACCTTCCAGTAACATGGGTGTGTGGTGCAGCAGGTATGTGAAGTGTGTAACAAAAAGAACCTGTGGGCTTTAATACTCTGCGCCCTCAGGGAGAGAAATAATGACCACGAGGCACAGCGCTGGATTCCACTGTGTGATGAAGAGAGCCACCATCCCTCTCTCCCTTGTGTGTGTGTATCTCTGCCTTCATGTCCTTATATTGACTGTTTGAACTGGAGTCGAGCCTACAGCGAGATTGAATCACTTTGTTAGGAGAAGTTTTGTGCTGTAATATTTTCCTCTCTGGCGTATTCCTCCATCAGGGCTGAGAGCCACTTCAGTAGATGAAATCAATTATCCAAAACTGTGTCATTTCTCTAGAAATATGACAAGTGCATGAGACATCCAACGCCCAAGAAAAAACACAAAATCCAATTACATGACCCGTGGTTATGAATCACATAATACACCAAAACAATAGCCACATCCCAAAAACAAATAATCAGTGCCAAGTTAATGAACTCACGAGTTTATAACAAGACTCCCAAGTAGGGCAACATACATAATGTCACTGGGCGAGTACCCAGAACTAAGAACTGTTCACTCTGTAGAACAAACAATTAATTTTAATTGCTTGTGTTGCTTAATTTCTATGAGATGCTTCATGAAATTGCTTAAGGTATGAATAATGTTTGTGGTAGAGTATAAGCGCAACTTCAATTAAGACAATGTTAAAACCACCATAAATGACCACATAACCACATTATCATTACAGGCAAAATCAAGCGTATTGTTTATTCATAGAGGACTTTATTATCTATTCCATCAATGGTGACATCACAGCAGTTTAATACATTTTTAATTAAGTAAGCCATTGTGTAACTTCACCAACAGCTGCGGCCGCAGAATGGAGCGGTGAGGAGGATAAGACTGAGTCCAAACTCAGCCTACATCTGCTACACCGAAATATCATTGAGCAAGGCATGGAGGAGGCAAATGAAACAAGAATTTTCATGTGGGGAAATAAAGTTCCTGAACAAGTTTTCTATAAATGTATTTATCGGTATAAACACCTTGAAATTTTTAAAGGGTCTCCAAAACAAGCCATTCCCGCGGCTTTGTTTATTTTAACAATTTGCGCTACCAAAACGTCCCATTTCTCTTCATTAAAAAATTAGAGCCTGCTCCAAACACACAGTGTTAAATGCAAGAGAATCATTAAGCAGCACAAAATAAATAAAGAGCAGCCAGCAGTTTCAATTAATGATATCCACACTGACAGCTCATGAGGCGAGCAAAGCGAGCAGAGCCATTTGGGGTTTTAGAAGAAAAAAAAAAAAGAAGCTGTTTTGCATTTATTTCTGTGACATGTTGCAGGTGGCTGCTGTTGGTTTGAGATCGTGTTTTGAATTTACATATTTTGTTCGTGCTGGAGATGAAGAGAGGCTGTCGAAATTCAGTCCAAACTTTCCTGACACAACACAGGACAATCTTGTATCAGGAGAAGAAAAACATTAAAGAGCGCAGATTGGCTTTTCATAAAACTAGGCTGTTTATGCAGGAAGGAGACTCACATATTTTTCAAAATTGGTGCTACATGACCAGAGGAAACAGAGGAAAAGCGCTGTGGCATTCACTTTTGCTAGAAGAAGGGGCAGAAAAAGCTACCACAATGCACTGTGCCCCACCGGAACAATAAACACTCCTACCGGTTGTTGCCGGAATTCAAGTTTGCCCATTTTTGCACAGGAAACAATATGGCAGCCAGCTGGTCACAGCTTATTAGGGCTGTACCCAAATATTCGGATATTCGAATATTCGTTTCTATGGGTAGGTATTCGTTATGAAAATTTGGTATTCGATATTCGTGTTTTTATTTACTTATTTTTTTATATTTTTTAATTATTTATTTATTTTTTTTTAATTTTTGTGTTGGTAAATGTAGGTTATCAATAAAAATCTAAACTTTTAAATTGCATTGTTAAAAATGTGAAAATATAGTA